ACGCATACAGGCGAAATCTTTTTTGTTTCACTCGGACCAGGACAATCGCCTTTTGGTCGTTACAACCAACTAGTTGGTTGCTGCACGGTGAGTTGCACTTTCTGCACGCCTGCACAGCTGTACACGTTTTTTCTCTGTTCTGCTGAGTTCACGAGTACAACCATCGTTCAGGATTGATTGCGTCATTCAATCTCCTTTCGTTCTTCCTCTGTTCGGTTTACTGTCAAACATGTTCCGTGGACACCATCGGTCTAGACACAGACGTTTGTAGCGTAAATTTCCTATTTCAGAGAGATACAAAAGGATAGAAAACCCAACTCAATTTGCGGAGCTAATAAAAGGCTACGAACAAGATAAAGCAGGCCCCCAAAAATGAGGCGCAAGCTCGGTAGTAAATCCCAATGATTCACCCTCCTTTAGTGAAATGACAAACATTAGAGGAGGACTCTCACTGCACATTGCATACACAAATGCATTTAGCGTTAGAAACAAATGGTCGGAGCTAAGGGTGGAAACAGGGAAGTCTGATGTAGTAGTTATCACAAAATCCTGGCTCTGGACAGGAATAGACATCAAACATCACTTCTGTGATTATCGTACCGATTGAACTGACGGAAGGATAGATGGACAGCCTCATACTAGTGGCATATCACCTACACCGGAGCTAGAGGCGGCCCTCACGATGCCAAGGCCAAACATCCATGTTTCTGCTGCGTGGTGAGCATTGGAGCCGTCAAGCTGCTAATAGTTAGCATCTACAGAAGCCCATCATCATTGTCCAACGAGGATAATGCGCTGCTAAGCATGCTACCTAAAACCGCTCGGCACAATGGGAAGCTAGTAATTCTTGGGAATTTCAACACACCAGAGATAAACTGGAGTGAAGAAAGTGTTTCGTCTGTTTCCTTCGATTCCGCGATGCTAAGCATGCTGCACGATGAAGCCCTCTTGCAACACGTAAATAAAGATACGCGGTGACGCGATCGTAGCAGACCCACCAGATCGGTTCTGGTAATAGACAAATAGGCAGAGATATAGAGAATATCCGGTTAATGGCCCCCTTGGGAAGAAGCGACCGCGCTCTAATTCACAGTTCTATGTCTCTCTGGGGCTCGTCCGCGCCCGACAAGAGGAAGAGAAATTGAGGGGGAATGAACCTCCCGAAGCTCATAATTGGTGCAAATTCCATGACATGAGAGCTAGATCCCAGTGAGCAGTTAGAGGACAGCTGGAGCCTTGTGAACTTCAACTTGCTACAACTCGCAAATAGATATGCTCCGCCGAAAGCATCAGGAGAAACGGAAAGCCTCCGTGGTGGAGGGCGCGAGTGCGAAAGTCTCAAGCCCGTAAACGACGTGCGTAGGAAAGACTGATATTCTCCTTACCTAGAGTACGACCGAACGCGCAGACGCGCAATGGTGGTCCAGTGGGTGTGTAGAATCGCATATGAATAGAACTCACCAGGACTGCAAAACTCAACTCTAAAGCTTACTTTAACTGTCCATTCAAACATCACACTTAGACGGGCGTTAGGGAACGTTCTAAAGGAAGATGAAGTTAGCAAAGAATTCAATGACGAAAAGGCGGATATTTCCCCCCGCTACTCCGAAAGGGTGCACAATTCACTTCGAGGGAGAAGCCCCCTAAGCCCTGTAGAGCGAAATATTCCTACAATGGCTGAAGTTATCGTCACTGAAAATGAGGTAAGGGCCCCACTGCAAGCTCTGAAGAGCACAAAGGCAACGGGACCCGATGATATCCATCCAGCCCTCCTGAAACCGCCGGCTGATGTGCTTGCAGAACCCTTAGTAAATTTGTTTAACAAATATCTTCCAGAAAGGCAGCTTTCAGGAGACTGTAAGGTGACGAATGTTGTCCGCATACACATAGGAGGGGTCATAAATCAAGCAGCAAGTTATTGGCCTGTTAGTCTAACCTCGGTACCCCTAAAGATACTGGAAAGGCTACTACTACCACTACTGTTGCACACCACAATCTGCTTTCAGCTAGCACCGGTTCCTAAGAAAGAGATTTTCTCAGAAATTTACTGGCGTTTTTAGATAAAATCACTGAAAGGCTGGATATAGGAGAGAAGGTAGGAGTCTGCTCCTTGGATCTTCAAAAGATCTTTGACTGTGTACATTACAGGCTATTACTACAGAAACTTAAGGCCTTCAAAATTCACCCGAAGCTGCTTTCATGGACGGAAGACTTTCTGGGAGGAAGAACTTTCCATCTCAACATAGAAGGTATCACATCACTGGAGGGCAGGATAGCAAGTAGAGTCCCACAGGGATTAGTTTCAGACCCTCTCCTATCCCTAGTCTATGTAAATGACTAACCGATGAGGATTGGGAACCCAGTATTCATGTTCACTGAGTACCTGAAACTTCTGGGCTTCCCTCAAATCAGACCGTGCAGAGGGAGTTCGATACCCTCATACACTAGACTGAAGACTGGGAGGTACCGCTCAACGTGGTCAAGTGGAGACAGTTGATAGGGACTGAAAGCACAGGCCAGGTACGGCGAATTTACAATGATAACCCAGTCGAACTCAAAAGAAGTGACGAAATGAGGTACCAGGGAATTCATGTCACCAGTAATAGGGCTGAAAATCTGATCAAAAACGTGAACCGATACGGTCCGATGTCGGAGAAATGATGTGATTCAACCAAGAACGAGGCTCCAAACACCGTGCTTACAGAGTTTCCGCAGTAGAATGTCGGGGTTCATCTGATCCAACGTTTTTGAGACGTCTACATAAATAACGTCTACCGCGTCGCTGTCATCAAATGCTTTTGTCCATTCTTCTCGTGCGATCAGCGAATTGGTGGCGCAAGATCGATTCTGTCGGAATCCATATTGATTTGATGACAAAAGGTTGTGCTTCTGTAGATTTTCCATCAGGAAAACTGCTTCTATGGACTCCATGACTTTGGACGGCACTGGAAGGAGGGTTATAGGGCGGTATTTTGCGGGATCGCTACTGCAACCGCCTTTGTGAATGGATGAAATTACTCCCGGCTTCCACGACGGTTGGATTGCAGTGTGATCGAACATCCTCTGGAAAATGAAGTCTAGTGGCTCGGCTATTTCATTTACCAAGCAGATAAGGGTTTGGGGGTGAACACTCTCTGCACCTGGCGATAAATTCTTCCTCTAAGCCAATAGCTTTGCTTTCACTTTTTCGGTAATGAATGATACGTTGGTTAGTGAAGGATGTGGGATTTGATGCATCCAACATGGGAGGTACAGTCGTATGTTAGTTGACGCAGTAAAACATGTGGGCATACTGATTCTGCAGCATTTCAGTGGCCTCTATTGCATTGGCTGTGGCTCTTCCAAAAGAACTGAGCACCGGTATTCCATGTTTAACCTTTCGAGCTGAGTTAACATGTTTCTACAAAAGCTTGAGGTTTGAAATAAGTCTTTGTGCTAGAGATTCTTCGTGGTTTAGTTTATCTTCGCGCACCAACTTGGTGCAGTGGTTTCGCAGCAGTCATTAATTGTTCCAGATGCATGCATTTGGAAGTCTTTTGTACTTTCTCAAAGAGAGGTCCCTCAGAAATATCCATCTCTTTGTAAGGCTTTGATGAGGTGATTTCCAGCTGCTGGGTTTGGTAGCAACTTTTACCCGCGTCACTGACGCAAATAATGTTGCAGATTGTCAGTAAATTCCTGCTTTACGACTAAAGGGTTGTTCTCTTCCCTATGAGGTATCTATTGAATAGAAGGAGCCAATCTCTGCAACTTCGCATAGTTTATGAATATGCAAACGCTGTTTGGGTTAATTACTTTGACAAAAGCAAAACAAATGTATTTGAACAAAAGTACAGCATGGTCACTTCGTCCCAGAAGGGTCGTTACGGTGACGGATTCTATCATCAACTCTTCGTTTGTCAACACTAAATCTAGTACGGATGATTATTGCAAGTCTCCAAATATGATATGCTCTTTCACGTGGTTGTACAGTGATTGTGAGGTAATTAGCTTTATGAATTGTTGTTCGAATAACGGATAGGAGGTCATTGGTTTGCCGAGGTTGGAATAGCTGAAATCAAACATTAGCAGAACGTGTAAATCTTATTGCGAGAATGTGTAACATAGTGTTCACAAGAGTCATATTGATGACGGAGAGCGATAGATGACACCAATCAAACAGTCATCGTGTTTGGACAATCTCAACCTACACCACAGAGTGTCAGGAGTCGAAACTGGGGGCTGGATTTGCTCGCAATCAAGATTTTGTCTATATTAGAGTAGAAAACCACCACCACGGGTGGGACGATCGCATCTGAGCAAAGACATTCCTGGTATGGACAATTCATAGTCCGGAATATCAGCTGCAAACCACGTTTCTGTAACAGCAGTAATATCCCACTGATCTGATTTGAAACAAAAATTCAGCTCTGGAAATTTGCTGAAGAGTCCTTGAGTATTGGTGCAGCAATAGTTTAAATATTGCCGGTGCAGAAATCCGATTGGATTAGCAGTGGTATCCTGGTCGACCCCTTTGCGGCCCGCTACCATTAATTTTTTTATAAGGAAACTCTCCTACTTTAAACCACTGGTTGTGGGACGGAATTTAGTACTTGCATTGAGTGATCCAATGTATTAGTAGGGTTCTCGGGATATGAATGTGTGGAGCCTCTACCAGGGCCGTCAGTACCACTCCGTCCGTCACCTGTTCTGCACTAGGAAGTGCCGATAGTATTCTCTTTATTATCTTGATTGCCTTTACCAAACTTCCCCCTGATGACTGGCGCTAGGAAGGTTGAAGTTCCACTGAATATCGTCCTTTAGGAGATGATTATGTATTTCATCCTGAGACCAAGATCGCAAATAAGCATAAATAGTCCGAAATTGTCCAGACCAACCGATTGGAATGGCGACAGTTGGCTACTCATTCTATTTATAAGCACTGGAGCCATTAGTTGACACCCTGGCTTACCCAGTTATCTATGACAGTGAACTAACTTTCTCTGAACTCTCTTTAGTTCTGCACCAGCTTTGATTATCCAGAACCGCCTCTTATTTCAGATAACCATTGCTTGGGCCCTAAATGACCTTCTTTCTCATGAAAGTGACGTATGAGAAGTTCGGTTACATGGTGTCTTGGGGGCAGGATAGCTGGGTGGTTTGCACCATGTGGCAATCGCGCGTAATCCACCAACTAAAATTGGACACAATTTACGTAGGGGACTACCCCTGTGCACGTGCCTCTTAGGGTCCATCATCCAAACCTGATCGTCTGAGACTGATTCTGCTTGAACTAGACGCACAACATTGTCGCATGCAACCCTAATGTCCTCTGTCGACAGTCGGCTCACCCGTAGTGACAAGGTACCTTTCTTTCCAAACTGTAGGCTGATATATTGCGTAGAGCGCCTCAACGAAGGTGTTGCTTGCAACAGCTTATACCAATGCAAATGACAAGAAAGTACATCGACGCTTATCGCGACAGCTGTTTGGTTGATAGTAACTGTGCGCTTAAACTCAATTTGCCCTTTGATTTTTTCAGTGGAGACCAATTTGAATGGAGGAATCTCTTCTAAACTTCTCAGGAATAGTGATCCCCGCAGCTAACTTTCCCATTTGGGTCGTCCGCCTTCAGACCGCGAGTGCCGTGGTCTGCAGGAGTAATTGTCCCCTTTACGTGATACCATAGCTGAGATGCTGAGCTTTCATATATTATAGCCAATCGGTGGCTAGAAGTGTGCTATAACGAGCTAACCTGTTGTTTATGTAATAAAGCACAATTGTTGAATCAGTTCAGTAGAATATGGGCCCCTTTGAAATATCCAACTCCCGACTTATACTATCACATAACTTAATCGCTCTAATGACAGCCTCCAGCTTATGTCTACGTGTGGCAACTGCCTTAAGTGGAGCCACGTGGAATTTAGTCATAACCAAGTTGCATACAACATTATCATTCCTGCCGTCCCTCAAGTACGCTGCGGCCCCGTAAGCTGACTCAGACGCGTCACTGAATATGTGCAGTTGGGCTGACTGACGGGCTCTTTGGTTTTCACTCCCCATACACTTCGGTACTTTTAATTCCTTCAAGCTGTTAACTTCACTAACCCAGGATTCCCAAGTTCACCGGTCATTCTCACCCACCCCACATCCCATCTAAGGGTTTTGCGGTAAAGGGCTTGTAACAATACTCTGCCTGTCAGAAGCATTGGAGTAACGAGACCCAGAGGGTCATACAGAGAAGCAACACACGATAGCAGTCCTCTCTTAGTGAATAGCTTCCGGATTGCTTCAAACGGTAAGACGAAGGCATCGTCAACAATAAGCCAATTCATGACTAAAGTGCGCCTTCGGGCACCTAGATTCATTTATTTAGCTGTGCACTAACCGCCCTTTCGCTCTCTGGAATATTGATTATGGCGTCACTGCAGTTGCTCAACTACCTGCTTAGCCGGAGACCTCCCTTACTAAACGCTACTCTTAATTGAGCCGTACAAAGCATTGCTTGTTCGGTATCGTCAAACGATGCTAAACAGTCGTCGACGTACAAATATCGTCCAATTGCACATCTCACACGACCATTGCCTATGTTTGTGAATGATTCGACCGTGCAGCGTAAGGCGTAGTTCGCACAAAATGGCGACGAGGTGGCACCAAATGGGTGAACGAAACCTCTAAATTCCATTGACTGTTGATTGAGATCTCCATCAGGCCACCATAGGAATATTGATGCCCCGAGTCATGTTCAGGCACTCTAACCTGCAAATCATCTGTTATACGTTTGCTGCTACAGCTATGTTACCTATACGAAAGCGCAGCAGTACTCCAACTAGGTTAGCTATGCTATTTGGTCCTTAAAATAAGACAAATTCCTTGATAGGCGGCTGCACAATCAAAGACTATTCTAACCTTTTCAGGTTTCCTTGGGTTTAACACCGGATGATATGGTAGGTACCATCTGGGTCCGTACGCGACTTCCAGATGATAGTCAGGTACACGGTCGAAATAAGCCTTTCGGAAGTGATCATTCAAAGAATTTAGATCTCGCATAAAACTGCATTTCAGGCATTCTAACCTCCGATTCACTAGCTCGTAGTTGTTCGGTAGGGTTTCTGGTTTGGTTTTTCACGTTATTCAGACGCAAAATCGTTTCCCGTCATGGTTTATTGATTCCTCTGCTATTTG